TGCCTAGGCAGGACCTTCTCTGGAGGGTACTTCTTGTGTGCCCTGAACCAAAACAGCCTGTTCCAGGTGCACACACTCCCTTTACCCTTCCTAGTGTGCATGGGCTGTCTGGCCCCTGACCCCCTGGCATGGCACCGCTCCAGACTGCTCCTACCTCATACTCCCGCAGGAAGCCTGCTTTGGATTTGGCTGACTTCTGGGTGTAATGCTGCATGAAGCTTTTGACAGGAATGGGGCAGGAGCTGGCAAAACAAATGGGAGGGAGGTAAATAAATCCAGGGACATGCAAACACCACCAGAAAGTAGAGGGAAGAGCCAGGGTACTTGGTCCCATGAGCAAAGTCAGCCCTGACCTGGCCCTGCTAGAGCCATGGGGAACAGGCAGCTCCAGGTCAGCTGAAGGGGGCATCCTTGGCCTGCCAGATTCACCTCTAGCCTGTGGAGTACATGTCTGCCCATGGGGTGCTTCCCATCGGGCCAGGATGACTGAAGAGCCGATGGCTGAGAGAGCAGCTCCTCTGCTTGGGGTACATGGCAGGAGCCAGACCCTTGTGGAAATAGCCTAGGGTACCCTGGGACAGTGCAGCCCATGGCACTATCACACTTCTGCCACTGGAGAATAGTCCATGGACACTGTGGGAAAGACAAGGCCCCAAAGCAGCCCACTCACATCCTCAGCCCTGTGCCAGCATGGGCTTGGAGTCATGACACTAGGAAATGCCAAGCCTCGGTGCTACATGCAGGGATCCCCAGCTGCAGGGATACCCAAAGGCAGCCGTCTATCAGTGTACAGAGCAGGCCAGCCAGCTGGGATACTTGAGACCTGCTGCCCGAGAAACGGACTCAGGCTTGGGGCTGGATCTATGCTTTCAGCTTCAAAGTGCCTGAGGAGCCAAACTTGAGTGCCAACACGTCTAGGGTGGGGCTAGCCTGGCCAACAAAGCTGCATCGGGCCTTACATCTCTGTCCCAGACAGGCCCACTGGTGGTTCCTCTGAGATCTTGTCCAGGATGCAGCTATGCAGGAAGATGTACTGGACCTGGAAGGCAAAGACAGGGCATCAGAAAAGAGCAATCCCAGCTGAACAACAGGTGCCACACTGAGGCACAGCATGGTACAATGGATAGAGCATGGGCAGGCTAGCTGTCAGCCTCCCCCTGACCCATGGGAATTGTGTGGGTAAATTTCTTCCCTGAATCAAAGTCCTTCCACCTCTGCAAAGCAGAGGCAGAAGGACTGATCCCAACCGGGAGGGCATGGAGCACTAAGGGGGTCTAGTGCAGGCTTCGCTGATGATACCAAAATTTGGGGTGAGGTGAGCACGCTAGTAGGGAGGGAAAGATTGCAGCAAGATCTGGATAGGTTACAGGAGTGGGCTAACAAAAACAGGATACGTTTCAATACTGACAAGTGCAGGGTGCTGCACTTAGGCAGTAGAAACCAGCAGCACACTTATAGAATGGGAAACTCCCTTCTTGAGAGCACGGAGGCAGAAAGGGATCTTGGAGTCATTATTGACTCCAAGATGAACATGGGCC